GCCCGGCGGACCCTCCTTCGCTCCCCGGCCCGCGGAGCGCGCGGAGAGGCGCCTCTAGCCTCTCATCGCTCGGGGGAGCCGAGGACGCGGCGCCCGGAGACTCCGGCGACCGCCGGATGTGCTTCCATGGCGGACGCCGCGCGCCCAGGGACGGGAGAGAGGGTGAGCACGGGGACGCGCGGCGGACACACGACCCTCGTCGTCACCCGCCCGGGGAGTGGTACGAGAGGAGTGGGGGGAGGGGTCTCTCAGCCGGCGCGGACGGCGGCTAACGTCTCCCGAAGGCGGCCGCTGCAGCTTCTCGACCCCAGTCCCCTCCCCCAGCAGCAGCCCAGCAGCGAGCACGCCCACCGTTCGTCTCCTCCGCGGCGCGGGGCCGGCTGGGAGATGGAGTGCAGAGCCCGGTGGAGGCTAAAGGAGGCCGCCCCGCGGACACTACAACTCCCAGAATGCACCGCCCGTTTGGCAGCTTTGCTTCACCCTCCCTGCCGCCCCCTCTGCCTTCGGTTTTTCTCGAGCCGCCGCCTCCGTCCACCGACTGCGGGTTGGTGTTCTCGGAATGCGAGTGGTTGGCTGCCTCTCTTGCGCAGCGCCAGGGTGATCGCAACCATTACTCCACACGTGAAACCGTTTTTCCTTAAAGCCATGATCGACGAAGCACGAAGAAGGGAAGAAAGCGGTGGCAGCTGCCTGGAAAACCGGTTGCAGGTGGACCTAGCCCTAGTGCTGGGAGGAAACGCTGGATACTTGGGCTTTTGAGGAAATACCCGCGTCAGTGCCAGACAGGCGAGCCAGAGAACGGAATCTCCCTTTTCCTCCTGTAACAGATGTTGGTCTATGTTTTCATGAGTAATGTATTCAAAAATGGTCCGCGAGGGACTTCAGTACATCTGCTTAGCCCTTAATTCACCTGAGTTGTAAATTTAATTCAGGGGCTTCCTTGAAACCGAGCGACGTAGGACCCAGAGCTGAAGATTTTGCCGCAATGGCTTGAACAAATCACTGGGAAACAAGACAGTTTTTAATCATCTCAAGTACTCTGTCTCTACCTGCAATCAAGACTCCTCAATTCCGCCCCATTATGTTCACCCGTTAAAGAGGTGCCCCCCGAAGAGGAGAGGATAAATACGTAGCCCACTTTTAGAGGGTACCGTAAACAGCCTTTCCGTTTTCCTGCCACTCTTGCTTCCTGCAGTACCTTTCCATTCCACGAATTCCTTTCCTGTTGTTCTCTGTCTCCAAAGACAAGCCGACAAAATCTGAGCAGAAATCTCTTGATTTAATAAATATATCCTGGCCAAAAAAATTAAAAAATATATATATATCCTGGCCATAACCTAGCTGTCTCACTCTGTAAACTATGCCCTAAGCAGCAGTATTATGAACAAATACTGCGTATGAAAATACATTATGGGATAATGACTTTGTGGAAGATTTAATACAAGGTTCCTATGAAGAAAATGAATCCAGTGCAATTATGATGCATTTGCCAAAAAAAAAAAAAAAAAAAAAAAACATGCTTTTTTTTAAAAAATAGATGGTCTAATTCTATTGCATAAATAAAACATTTTATGTGTTAAAATCCAATTAAGTAGTTGAAATAACACAAGAACTGGAAGAATTTAAAGCTTTTTATTTTCCATTCCCGTGTATTGAATACGTATGTAATAGATGCCAGACACTCTTGTAAATGCTGGTAACATAGCAGTGAACGAGACAAGGTGTTTATACTCAAGATGCTTATATTGGAAGGTACAGACAATAAGCATAAATAGGGAAATCTCAAACCGCTAATTCTTATAATGAAAACAAGCAGGACAGTGAGGTAAAGATAAGGGTGTTATTTTAGATTGGGGGGCATCAGAGAAGCCCTATCTGAGTAAGTGACATTTAATCTGAGACCTGAATGACAAGAAAGATCCAGCTATGGAAATACCTAGAGTGTACTAGGTAACAGGAGCAACTAGTACAGAAACCACAAGAAGCAAACAAACAGCCATTCCTCTAGACCTTGGTAGTATTTCTCAACCCCAGGTGCACATTCTGAATGACCTAGGGAGATTTAAAATTTACAAATGGCCAGACCAAATGACTCAGAATCTCTAGAGGTCAGTGTCAAGCATAGTACTTTTTAAAAGCTCCCCAGTGACTCTAATGTGCACCCATGGTTAACCATTGCTCTAAAGCTCTCAAAGAATGAGAGCGGCATTAGCATCACCTGGGAACTTGTTGGAAATCCAAGTTCTCAGGACCTACTTCAGCCAGACCTATTAACCCAAAACTCTGGGGTAATCC